AGTGAATGGGCTCGCATTAACCTAAAACTAAAATCAAATGAAACTACAAATGATTTTCCTAGTAAATAAATACTGCCATATACAACGTTATGTAGTATGAATGGTAATTTAGTCAGTATTTATTCGTACATCCACATTAACACCGTACTATGAGATTATGCTTAAACCTGATTGGTCACTTTGGTGCTTATTTCTGATACAGATCCTTGATGTAAAGTATATTAAGTGGGAAGTTTCTTCTTCAGGATTTTGAATGGACACTATTTCCCGTATACCTTAGCTGACTCCTTCAACTGTGACCTATTCTATGAGAAACACGTATGTACATTTAACTGAATTATTTGTCATAAGTGTTATTAAATTTCATGTTTGAAAGGAAACGATTTTAGATTAGTGCCACATAAAAACTATGTTTACTACAATAAAGGCGTGTACATTTAATTAAAGGTTGAAATAATGTTTTTGAGAGTAAAAAGAAGATCAATAAAATAGTATTAAATCTTAAAAGGCTTGTTCTAAGGTTTGTTGCGGACATTTTTCATCATGATGGTAAAAAACAATACACATCGTTTCGGGATCTGGAATCTGATCCCGTCTTCAGGTGAAAAAAAACTTTATTAACACATTACAACTAACAATACACAACGCCTAACCTAAGTTGAAATACACTACAGAGGGTAGCAGTAAAAAATATGCACTGTATAGCGGTCAAGTTATGATACAACATGCAAATAATAACCAATCACAAAACTTCATGGTCTATAAAGTGTGTAGTGTGAACAGCTCACACAATGGAACACTAATAGTACCGTTCATATTTTTTTGACTGCTACCCTCTGTAGTTATTCCAACTTAGGTCGGGCGTTTGTGTATTGTTAGTTGTAATGTGTTAGTTAAGTTTTTTCACCTGAGGACGGCATCAGATTCCAGATCCCGAAACGTTGTGTATTGTTTTTTTACCATCGTGATGGAAAATGTCCACAATAAACCTTTGAACAACATTAACTCACCATCTAGTACAGGTAAAATAGGGTTTTATAAACAACAAAATTTGTACATTCATGAAATTTCACCTGTGAGTTACTAATAATATGAGAAATGAAGATCCGATGAGTCCCCAAAATTTTGGGCGTGCTAAGGTCAACTTTTTGGGGCCCTTTTTGTTCCGAAGGGCCCTTAATCCTGAATAATTTTGTTTTTACGTTTAAGGTCGTGTGAGGTGTGGTTTTCGATGGTTTTAGTTATTTTAAATCGATTGGGACTAGTTTTATGTGTATTAAACCACTCCGTACAGGGTGTTTAGAAATATTATTACTTTTTACAATATTTAAACATTTATTCATAAAGTGATAAAATTAGTTACTTCCATGCATGCTCTATATAAAAAGGGATTATTGAAAATAACTGTAATTCTTTACTATATAAGAGAGAAGGATCTCAAGGAGTAAGAGAAAATATTAAATACCCCGTCACAGCAAACCTGCAGACTAAGGTAATTTTAATTTGTCCGATTTTCAATTAAATCTAATAGTTTAATGAAAAAAGGGTCTAATAGTTTAATGAATACTTAGGTTTGCTGCTACAAGGAGGCTAATAAAGTGTGTTTATAGTAAAATCTTAACAGCCTAGTATAAAACAAATACCACTCCATACAGGGTGTTTCGAAATATTATTACTTTTTACGATATTTAAACATTTATTCATAAAGTGAAAAAAATTAGTTACCTCCATGCTCTATATAAAAGGGGATTATTGAAAATAACTGCAATTCTTTACTATATAAGAGGGAAGGATCACAAGGAGTAAGAGAAAATATAAAATACCCCCGTCACAGCAAACCTGCACACCTAGCGAATTTCCGTTTTACTTACTTGATTTTCAATTAAATCTAAAATAGCGTTAGTCTAAATTTGCGTTTAATGATAACCTAGGTTTGCTGCTACAAGGCGGCTAATAAAGTGTGTTTATAGTTAAATATTAAAAGCCTAGTATAAAACAAATAAATTTAATAAGTTTGATCAAAATATATCTATTAACAATAAAAAAAATCATTTTACACTATTCTACAAAAGAAAAGCATGGGAATTTTAAATTTATAATTTTAGTATTTTTATCCGTAACTAGTATCATACAAAAACACGTTAATATACTAAATTATTTTTTTAAGCTATTTAAAATGTTCTAGAGAAAAATTGGGAAACTTTGTGTTTTGAGGGTAAAGTAAATAAGAAAACCCAATTTTTACCCCATAAACCTCGTTCCCATTGTTCAGGACAAAAATGCTTGTGCCGACAATGCTGCTCTGATGTCTTAGTGCTGTCCTGGTCGTCATAACCACGAAAGATAACTGTACTTGGATTGATTGAAAATAAGTTTGAGGAACTTAAGATACAAGCTGCAAACGTCAGTATGTATGAAAGGTGTTTTTGCACCACATTGTTCGTGCTTTAAGATTGGTGTTGCCTGTTCTGCAATATGCAAGGTTTTAGGTTTGTAAAGGGGAATCCTGCTTGAACACCAACTTGGACAAAATCAGTAAAGATGGACAAGTTGCTAAGAATAATAAAATTTTTAATGAGTCGTCTGAGAATAATTATTGTAATAATGAAATTGTAAAGAGAGATACTACATAAATTGTAGAAAAATAGCTTTAGTTTAAGTACTTCATTTTAATATGTAATGTAAGGTTATATACAAATGCAATTGTTTTAATTTTTAATAAATGTAAAAAAATAACTTAAATACTACCTTAGAAAAATACATATCAATTTGAAATTGGTCTTAATAGATTTGCATAATAAACACGTTGAAAGATTATTCACACCACCTTAAAAGTTGAAATTTTTGCTTAGTAACCTATGTTATCATGTTATAGTGTGAAACTTCAACCATCCCCTTCATCCCCTTTTAGCGAACATCCCATTTAGGAGATGAGCTATTACCGAAGGTCTCATGGTAAAACATAGACCCGAAACCGATTTACGTTTTCATTTCGATGGCCCCAGAAGCCTAAAGCACCATCTACTCAAAATAGTATATATGTGTTTATATCCATATATAATATAATATATCCATTTTATATACGTGTCCATAAACATGATAACTCGAGTAATTTAGGTTCAATTTTAACGAAACCGGCATAATCGGTCCATGGAACAGGGTTTTATGTGGTAAAAATATGTAACCTTTGACCCTCAAAAGACAAAGTTTCCCAATTTTTCTCTACAGCATTTTAAAGAGCTCAAAGAAAACAAATAATTTAGTATATTAACGTGTTTTGTAAGTGTGTTAGTTACGAATAAAATTCAAAAATAGTAAGTTTAAAATTCCATGTTATTCTTAAGGAGAATAGTGTAAAATGATTTTGTTTGTTTGTTTATAGATATGTCAAATTTATTTGTTTTATACTAGGCTATTAAGATGTTACTATAAACACACTTTATTAGCCTCCTTGTAGCAGCAAACCTAAGTATTCATTAAACTATTAGACCTCATTTCATTAAACTATTAGATTTAATTGAAAATCGGGCAAATTAAAATTCGCTTAGTCTGCAGGTTTGCTGTGACGGGGGTATTTAATATTTTCTCTTACTCCTTGAGATCCTTCCCTCTTATATAGTAAAGAATTAGTTATTTTCAATAATCCCCTTTTATATAGAGCATGCATGGAGGTAACTAATGTTATCACTTTATGAATAAATGTTTAAATATCGTAAAAAGGAATAATATTTCTAAACACCCTGTACGGAGTGGTTTAATACACATAAAACTAGTCCCAATCGATTTAAAATAACTAAAACCATCGAAAACCACACCTCACACGACCTTAAACGTAAAAACAAAATTATTCAGGATTAAGGGCCCTTCGGAACAAAAAGGGCCCCAAAAAGGGCCTTAGCACGGCCAAAATTTTGGGGACTCATCGGATCTTCATTTCTCATATTATTAGTAACTCACAGGTGAAATTTCATGAATGTACAAATTTTGTTGTTTATATGGAGTGTTTTTGTATTATTTTACCTGTACTAATCACCAACAATTAACTACAAACAAAGAATTAATATGGCTTGCTGGAACATGAGGGTGAGACAGATACAACGACGAGTCTCTAGTAAGAGAATATATATTCCACATGTGGTTGATCACCCCTCCAGCAGTCGGGAACAGAATAAAACTTGTAGCACCGTGAGGTGCATGTATAGATGTAAACAAAAATGACTCGGCTATTAACTGTTATTTATATAAAGTTTCTAGCAGATAAATAGAGAAAACCGGCTACGTTAAATGCAATAGCTTAAACGTAACGGAAATGGTAAAACATAAAGAATGAAATAGAGGTTTCATTATCTGAAGATACGTTAAAACCGTCCATTAGCTGGCCATATTCTTATAATCCAGTGAACAATATACCTGCAGTTTTGTTCCCGAGGTTATTAACCACCACTCCTGCTCGTAATTATCTTTGTTAACGATACAATAAATCTTCAACCTAATGGATTATTTTCTTTCATTCCTCTCATTATTTAGGGTAACTTGAGAATAAGTGAATGCGCTAACAAATATTATATTGCACTAAGTTGTAACAAATTATATTGAAAATACTTTTTATAATAGCATGTTTGTTAAGTGAATATTTTTTTTAAGTAGCGGATTAATCAATAAAAATGAAACTAAGCTGTAAAATAAAAAAAAATATATAATTTAAAAAGGTATATTGGATTACAACAATTAAAATTACATGTTGTATCTTAAATGGGCTAATTCTTAAAATACGCACTTTATAAATATACAAACAAACTAGTTGTTATGAATTCTAAACAATAGTCATTCAAAAATATTTTTTCGATATATGTATGACATGATATATGACATGAAAGCTTTTAATGTTTGCAACAAATGATTTTATTTAGTAAGAACTTTGTATTTCATTTACCAAAATATAGTTCAGATAAGTTAGTAATCCCAAGATAACATCCACATGTATTTATATTTTGTTGCAGGTCGACTGGCTGAAGGATGAGGACTCCTACCTACCTCCTGATGTTGATAGTTGTGACAGCAGCGCCGCTCGCTACCTGTGTACAGCCAATACCTTCACATCCAGCCCCTGCAACCCTTCACCATTCACCTGCCTCAGACTATTGTAAGAGTTATTGAAAAATACATTAGACTTGATATTAATTATTGTAATTAGAGGTCGTCCAGTGGTTGTAAACTCGACCAAAAATATGTAATGTACATACTTCTCTATTTTCACCCCACGCTGTAAATAAATCATGTGATTTGAATTTCTTCCATTTGTTTTGATTTTCTGTTTGTATTTCATTGTTATTTCGTAATCAGCATGGCAACCCATAAGGCCCATGTTATTTTTTTTTAATTTTGATTATTTTTTGTCGAAACTTTTACGTACCTTGTCTTGTAGTTCAAATATAGTGTTTGAAATTCACTACATATGTTTCGCCATATATGGCATTCTCAAGTTAGCCCAGTCAATGAATGCAATAAAACACCCTTTTTCGCAACTAAATGGTGGAAAGCTGGATTTTTTATATGTGATAGAACCACATGAGAGGTGTATTTTCCCAAAAGTCCCCACTTCTACCCCTTGAGCTTTCCCCCCCACCCCCCTTCAAACGTGGAAATTGCAGTGTTTTACTTAATTGGTCATAATTCAAATGCTATGTGAGCTATCGAGCTGCAATTTGTTTTGTTTTATTTCTTATTAGTTTCCCTACAACTTTTGTATTTGTAACATTTTTCTAAAACCAATACTAAGGGAGATATAAAATTTAAACTTCGTTTAAAGCTTAGTTTTAGAGTGCAAAATTTTGTTTTTCTCAATGTATACTATTAAATAGAAATAATACGCAAATATGGTTTGAACAAAAGTTTTAGTACGTTTTTCAAGGTTTACAAATATATTATTGGTTAGTCATCTAGGTGACCGGGTGAAGTGCTGGGCGTCGGCAAAGTGAGCGCGTGCGCGTTAGCTGAACACCTCTGCGCTGCGTCGTCGCATCTAGCCCAGCCAATAAACGCACAAACTGCCTTTTTTCGTAGCTAAATAGTGGAAAGATGAGTTTTTTATATGTGATGGAAACTCTTAAGACGTGTATTTTCAAAAAGTTCCCGATTCTCCCCCCCCCCTCACAACCCCCTCCAACCCCCTACAAACCTGGAAATTACAGTCGTTTACTTTACTGCATATCATTCAAATTCTACGCATGCAATCGTAGTGAAATTTGGTTTGTATTATTTATAATTAGTTTATCTACAACTTTTGCACTAAATATTTTCTTTTAAAACCATATCCAAAGAGATATAAAATTTTTATTTTTTTGTAATGTTTATGTTTTAGAGGTACACAATTTTGTTTTACCCTCTATCAATTTGTTTCAAAAAATTTTTTTCTTAAAATGTTTCAAACAAAAATTGTAGTATGCTTCTTAAGATTTATAAATATATATTTGGTTAGTCGGTCGAACGAACTGATGTAGTGTGGGGCGTCGGCAAATAGAGCGCGTGCAGGCTGGCCCGTCGATGCGTCGCGTCGTAGGCACTGACATCGCTATAAGTTCTCAAAGGTTGTATATACAAATGCTAAGGCCTTGTACTTTGTACTTTACTACCAAAACAATCTGTATCCAAGCTTAACCGTTAACTCCAAAAACAATTATTTAGATGGGACCCAACCATTTACTTGTTTATAACCAGTTTTGGTTCAGGTAAACTAATCTCTACCTACTTACTTGTTATACTTGCAATACTTGTAATAGGTACTTGATTTCTTCATCTTTGACCAACGGAAGTTTGATAGATTGAGGTATAGAACACTAGACCTAGTAAACACTTTAAAAATCACTACAAACATACTCTTTGCTCTTCCTTACGTTACAATGTGATTTCCATTATCTACCACCAATGGGACTCGCTTTGTTCCGCAAGGTTTTTACTAACTGCGCCTCGCGGTCAGTGAAGATCTAAAAAGAAAACTGCAAAAAAATACTAAGATGAAACCTAATCATTTGTACATTTCTTAGATTTATTGTTACTTTTATCTCGTTTCTCATTTGAAATAATAATTTATTTAATTATTTCTGTTAATGGCTACACCTATTGACAATAATATCAACCTATATGGCCATAATATCAACCATACCTATATGGCCGCTGCCATGTATATTAAAGAAATATTACATTACAAGCTGGGTCGAGATGACCCAATTCGCCTATGGGATTTCAGGATGATTGGAGTGTCGAATCGAAATCCACCACCACTTACCACCTTTTATGTAATATTTACAGTATGGTGAGTAACATTATAAGTGTAAATTTCTGTTTTGAGTGTTAGATTATTAGACGTATTTTCTTTTATTTACTTTCCAATTAATTAATGTAATAAGGCATATATCCAAAAGTCATAAATAAGTAAGTAAAAAACTATATTTGTGTCCCCATACATGCAGGCAAGGCTATTTACGGAATACATACAGGCAGATTATTCAAATTTCCTTTCTTGACAATTAACATACTGTGTAGATGTGTCAATCAAATTGGGGTTTTTTCGTAAAAATTGGCAGCAATGTATTACGAATTTGCTTTACGGCACTAATACGTCGTCGAGATCAATCATTTTTAGAGACTCTATACTGTGAATCTCGGTGAGGTTCTGTTCTCTAATATTTCATTGTTTTCATGTTATCCTAAAAATGAGTCAGCATAATAGTTCTTATTGGTTTGTGGTAGACATTATGCAATCGTTTAACATCGCTAATAAAGATGAATGCGCTTATTAAGTGTTTTAAAATCTCCTATATATAGACTTAATAAAAAAAACTAGTTTTAACATTGACTGGTTTTAATTTGTGTTCCTTACCATATTTAAAGTGGCTTATAAATATTCCCGACAGTTTTCTACGTTGTTCGTGATATAATTTTAACATAGACTTACAACTCATGGCAGAGCAGAAAGCTAATCCTTGCTAGCGGGAAGCGTGAAGAGAGGGACATATCAACGATAGGTCGCAGTTTGTATCAAGGATTAGTGGGTCGACGAAAACTTTTTACTGACCGTGAGGTGCTTCATTTAGTCACGGTTTAGCTTGGAAACAGATTGTTTTGGTAGTAACGTAGGCTACAAATTATTAAGTCAGATTTGTATGAAACAGTTGAGAACTTAGCGGTGCCGGTCCTTATTATGCATCGACGGGCGGGGCTACGCGGAGCCTGCACGCGCTGTCTTTGCCGACGCCCACACCACATCAGTTTTTTTTTTTCAGATGAGTAATCAAATATATATTTATAAACCTTAAGAAACATACTAAATTTTGTTTCCGACACATTTTGCATATTTTATTTGAAAAAATATATAGAGGGTAAAACACAATTGTGTACTCTAAAACATAAACATAAAAAAAAATTAAAATGCTATATCTCTTTGGGTATAGTTTTATAAGAAAAGCTTTAGTACAAAAGTTGGAGATAAACTAATTATAAATAATACAAATCAAATTTCACTACACGATGGCATGCGTAGAATTTGGATGATATGCAGTAAAGTAAATGACTGTAATTTCCAGGTTTGTAGGGGGTTGGAGGGGGTTGGGGGGGGAGAATCGGGAACTTTTTGAAAATACACGTCTTAAGTGGTTCCATCACATATAACAAACTCATCTTTCCACTATTTAGCTACGAAAAAAGGCAGTTTGTGCGTTTATTGGCTGGGCTAGATGCGACGACGCAGCGCAGAGGTGTTCAACTAGCGCGCACGCGCTCACTTTGCCGACGCTCAGCACTTCACCCGGTCACCTAGATGACTAACCAATAATATATTTGTAAACCTTGAAAAACGTACTAAAACTTTTGTTTAAACCATATTTGCGTATGATTTCTATTTAAAAGTATACATAGAGAAAAACATAATTTTGCACTCTGAAACAAAGCTTTTAACGAAGTTTAAATTTTATATCTCCCTAAGTATTGGTTTTAGAAAAATGTTACAAATACAAAAGTTGTAGGGAAACTAATAAGAAATAAAACAAAACAAATTGCAGCTCGATAGCTCACATAGAATTTGAATTATGACCAATTAAGTAAAACACTGCAATTTCCACGTTTGGAGGGGGGTGGGGGGGAAAGCTCAAGGGGTAAAAGTGGGGACTTTTGGGAAAATACACCTCTTATGTGGTTCTATCACATATAAAAAATCCAGCTTTCCACCATTTAGTTGCGATTAAAAACATTTATTGACTGGGCTAAGTGGGTAACAGAAACTCGTCAAGATGTAATTTCAAATACAACAATGTACATTGTGACACGCCAAATACATTTACGAATAAAACATTTAAGAAGGTTAAGTGTTGTAGTGTAGGCCTACAAAACTGAACATGTTTAATGTTTTATTTGCTAATTTATTTTACGTGTCATAGTGTACATGTAAGTATGTACATAGTATGTTTTAAATACAAAAATATTATTTTTGTAATTCAAATTTACAAATTGACGAGTCCAGTTTGGATACAATGTTTCTGTTGACCACTTGAGAATGCCATATTTGGCGAAACATATGTAGTGGATTTCAAGCACTATGTTTGAACTGCAAGGCGAGGTACGTAATAGTTTAGTCTATCCTACGCAGTTCAGGGGCTACAAAATGGAATTTATTTTTGTGTGCTTTTTTAGCCTTTTATAATTTATAAAGAGAATCTGCATATCTGCAGGAAAATAGCTTTCTAGCAGTATGCGTAGATTTTCCCTGCATTGCACACGAGCTTAGAAAAATTGGTTTTCAAGAAATATGCTTACCTATAAGGGTAATGATAGTTATTGAATATATTTACATTATTGTACCCGGGATTGGAAGGTATAGGCCTAATCCTGGTAAGTAATTAGGTTTTAGGCTTTTAAAAGTATAGAGACTGTTGATAGTTCACAATTAACTACGTTTGGTGTGCTGGCTTAAGCCTGCCTGAACGTACTCAATAAAGATTAAAAAAATTATACTGGTATGTTATCAAGTTCCACTAAGCCAGACCTGAGATAGCTTACCGTCTTACTTGACAGCAGCCATATTTGTTTATAGATTTAAGCAAACAGAAAACCGGGATTACAAACAAATAATAAAACGAACGAATAAGTTGTGAACTAATACTTGCTACGAATGTTTAACCTGTGTTTTTTTATGAAGGTTGGTGGCCTCTTATTATCTTTATTAACGCTCAACAGAGGCCTCGGGCCTTTGGGTAAAAAGTATATAGCAAACAAGGGGCTCAGCCGATGCAGTTAGTGATCTGTGCTATTACAATGTCGTAGTATTCGCCAATATGTAAACCCACTACATAGGAGGTGCCTTGGATTCGTAGCTCACCGCACTACTGAGTTAGCCACTGACTGACTCACATAAATCACAATTTGAAATGTACATGTCACGCAATGTATTTCAGCTATCATTAAATCATAATTTTGTATCAGGAATTTTCGTGCTTCTCATGTAACAATGGATGGTCAAATATATTTGACCTTTTGAACATTACTATTACATTTTTCTAACTTTCTAATATCATCTCTCGTATTTCAGATAACTGCATCGAGATAGACCTTTCGGAAGTTGAATCATTGAGGTCGAATATTTTTAACTTTATTGACATAAATTTGGCAGACAATAAAGATAACATATCCTTCGGTCTTTTAGAAGAGGATTGGGCCCGTTTAAAGCTCCTGGAGATGAGATTACCAGTAAAATCTCCTCTAAGAGGAAAACTAGTGAAACTCTTCAGACTGTTATTATCAGCACTTTATCAAGCTCACAGACCAAAGACACAAGAACCTCCTTATTTCAATAATAGTATAATTTATGACAGTGAATCGCAAATTTCAAATCTAAATGCATCCACGATAAACATAAGTGATCCAAATTATGGGAATGTAAACCATTCTAAAGTATTGGAGGGGCCTACAAGTTCTGTGTCTCAAGAAGAGATAGACAATGAGGCAGCAGAGTCTGAACCACGACCTTCGGTGATATCACTTAATACCCACCCGACCCACTTGAACACAGTTAGAATATCTGAATACGACACAAACAGCCATTCTGAAGATAAATCCACAAAAACTCCGCATACTGTAAGTAAAGAATTTTCAAAATATTCCGAAACGGAGGAACCAGACAATAAGCTCCCTATGCCTAACAATCTCCCTAAAAGTAAAATACTCGGAACTAATAAAGATATTCTACAACAAACTAGAAACAATGACACTTCGCAGAAGGTGACTCCAGTCTATGGGTCAGACGTAACCGAAGATTATCAGGGCCTAAACATAAAATACGAAAAAGAACATGGAGATTTACCCGTTGAAACAGAAGATATTGCAACAACCACCATTCAACCGAAAGGGAATACAAAAGTTGACTTTATAGAAGAAGTTGAAAAGCAAGAGTCAACCACTCCATCAATTACCGTGGTCCCCGGAATCGAAGATAATTTATTTTTGGACACTGAAAAAGCTGATAATACAACCAGTGATGGCACTGGACGTGAAAGTATCCGGACTACAGCTTCTGAGGACAACATCACACCAATCACGCCTTCTCCTGGCATTGAAGAAGAAACTACCCAACACAGCCAATTCATTCCCGATCCCACCAATTCACATCCAAATACTGTTTCATTTGATGGTGAAGAATTACATGCTTCTAAAACATCGACGACAACAGATTCAGGCATTCTACTCACCTCAACTTTAGCTCCTACCACGGTCAAAGATCAAATCCATATTCAATCTCCGTACACAACTAGCAGCACAAATGGCATTGATTCAAGACAGGACAAGTCTTTACATTCAACTTCGTCAAGTCCAATTAGACCAACACAGAAAGTTGACAATCCTGTAAACAACATCATAAACGATACCTTCAAATCATTCACCCTAGTGTTTCCTGAATATCCAAAAGTAACTTCTCCAACGACTGAAGTAAACAAGCTTTTGATATATCCCTACGATGGTGGGAAAAGAATGTTTTATCCGTTTAGCGTGTCCAAGTCGACCAGCTGCAACAACAAGAAAGGTTGTGCTAAAGTAAAAAATATTGAGTTTTACAATCCTAAATATCCTGAGCGGTATAATCAACCAAACAGTGGAATACATTCTGAAGATTCCCGGAATGCACATAGAGAATCGAACCGCAAACGATGGAACTCAGATAACGCATTGTGGTGGCACAAAATGAGAAGTCTAAGGAAGAAAAACTTTGAGGAATAATAAAGTAAACGAATAAATGTTTGTTGCTAAGATCATGTATAGATTAGTTTATGTTTTGTACAGTTTTAAAACTATTTATTATGTAATATTAAATTATTTTGGTACATTGTTGTTCAAGAGTTTGACCCCGGTGAATCTTCTACTCAGGACGTTAAACTAACCCTTAATGATGTAGGGGTTACCTCTAAATACAAATAAGAAATGTTTAAAAATGTTATCGATGGTAATAAGGTTTAAATATTTTTAGTAAATACGAATTCTAAGTAACTTTGCCATCGGACATTATGTATATCATACGTTAAATCTAACATATAAAATTCAATTGTATTTCATGATAAAACAATCAAACACGTTAAAAACTAGACAAGTGTATCAAGCTAAGGTAGGCACAAGTACAGTACATTTCAATCTGATAACATCTGTTCCGATGTGTAGATAATGTAGTGACTTAGAGACATTAGGATTAGTCGTGGTTTCTTTCCTGCCACAGTTTCTAAAAATAGCTTTTCCTCAAAACATTCTTATTACTCCGTTATTTCAAATTTGCAAATCTTCAACTAACAAGGCTCTTTGAAAACAAATATGAATTATTTTATTCTAGCTCAAGAAACCGCAGTAAAAACAACAATGAAGCAAGTAAATCTTTAATCTACTGACCGATTCAAACCACTGTTTATCCGTCCATTATTGCTGCTTCTCGGTCATTACGTAAACAATACCTGGAGGTCCTTGACGTGGGAAGTGCAGAAGCAATGAACGCTCCATAATTGCGCATTTTCTAAGAAATATTCAAGTATCCCACAAGGAAAATGGTTCTACTATTGTTATGTACATAATTAGTTGGAATAATTTATTGACATTAAGTGCAACTGTTGCGCAATCCGAAATAATGTCATATACTTAGCATTACATGTCAATGCACGTCTGTAAAAATACAAAAAAAGTATGATTATTGATGAAAACTCTCACTACCACCCTTTAGGAAATCAAATGTTTTGTGAATTAATGAATTATATAGGTGATCTCGTGAATTTAAAAACATGTATAATAGAATTTGATCATTGTAACACAAACCCCAACCCGTTTGTGTGGTACTGGCCTTTTACATTTATAAATAAAACTAATTCAAACAAATGGTAAATTTGATTCATGTAAGTCTGAGTGTTATCAGACACATAGCTATCGTTCTGTTACTTAAATAATGAAAACTAAAACTCTACTAGGCCTACTACTCAAAACTAAATAACACCAAGTAACATGATTCCATACTTATGATCTTAAACAGCACTTAACATTTTTCTCATTTCCAACACTCTGACTCTCATTTTATAGGTCTCGTGAATAAAAAAATATGTATAATAGAATTTGATCATTGTAACACAAACCCCAACCCGTTTGTGTAGTACTGGCCTTTTGCACTTTTTTTCAAACAAACAAAATTATATTTACATTACATTTTCAACTGAAATATATTACCACATTAACCAATTAACACCACCCAGATTATATCAACTTAATCCAACAAAAACATAATTTAATCAAACAAAAACTCAATAACCAGTTGTAATACAGTAAGGTCAATCAATGGGCATTATTAAATTTACCGTATACATTTAATTATTCTGATAAATGAAATACTATTTTTCATATTTAGTTTTTTATCCGTGAAGTAAACGGTGAGAATACATTTTTATAAAATTCTAAAATATAAATATCATTAAAATGTAAATAAATGTATGCTATAGTGTATTTTTGTTTTACCTAGAAGCAGAATTTTATAAATACAACATTTTTTGTCTTTAACTCGTAGCTTAAAAAAATCAGAGAAACCCCTAAAACATTGTTGTAAGTGGACATAAAAATAATATTAATCTAAAATCTATTACATCTGCATTATTTATCAAGGATTTTAGTTTTCAGGTGTAGTAACCTTATTTTATTGACATTGCTAATTGGAATTTATTAATTAAATCTCGTTCCACAGCCGATAATTCCAATTTCCGGTTGTTTCACAAAATTACAATAATGAAATTGTTTGGCGTTACAACACCAACTGACAGTTATTATTTGAAAAAAATAAACTTGAATTAGTTAAGTTTACATACTAGAATTGCCTTTTAAATTGTAAAACGACGTATGTATTCCCCATTTTAATAACATTAGATTTAACAAGTACTCTAGTCTGCTGCTACGGGGAAGGGAAAACGTGTGTTTTTATTTAATAATAGTATAGGACGAAAACATTTGCCAAATTCGATCAAAATATATCCATAAGCAAGCCAAACGCACAGTTATATTTTTCTCAATAAGAATATCATGGGAATTTTTAAGTCTTTTGATTTTAAAATTTTAGTTGTAACCTTTAATAAAATTTATTGTTCAACAATGCTTCAATATAAAAAATTTTAAGTTATTACGCTCTACACGATGGATGTAATGGAAATTTGGTATTTCTAAATTTTCATGCTTACAAATTGAATGTTCAATAATAAAAAAAAAAAAACTTCATAACTCCTCAAAACATCGGTAGTCCATTTCATGACCCGATCTGGTTTGCATTCAAGTTTCTCTCTTTATACATTAACTAAAAATTTCATCAAAATCGGACCAAAATTACTCGAGTTATAGTATTTACGGACACACACACACACACATATACATATTTGAACTAATGAAGCTTTTGGCCTCCGGGGACATGAAAATGAAAATGTAAGGCGGTCCTGGGATTAGATCTTTTTGTGCCACCTACGGTAACGGTAATAGCTTCTCCATTTAGTTAAATTCACTAAAATCAATTAATGTATCCTAAAAACTTTCCTGGATTTCGTTCAATACAGACAATTCAATAACACTTATAAACTTTCAGATTTTAATTTTAATTTAGAATACTTGTAAGTTTTTATTGATGTTGCAAGGCTGGGCAGTTAAATATCTAGGCCCTAATCTCTTGTTAAATAAGATATGACATTGAAATCCTTAAGACAAATAATGAATAAAGACCTAAGAAAAAAAAAATGGAACAAGTTTCTGTGTTAATCATGGCAAAACATGTTATATTTGCCACAGCTAAGCTAATATATGGTTTTTCTAAATTTAAGCCTTACAAGATTAGAAATTTCATCTTCAGGATATGAAGTTATCCTTTGTTGTTGTAGTAAATTTACAATTTTCCTCATTTTGGTTTCTGGTAATTTCAAGAGACTTTAAATCCGACTTAACAGATAAACATGCTGACATTCAACAGACTTCAGAGGAGCTGATATTATATAAATTAATTACTCATGTGCATATACTTAACATAAACCTCTTTTGGACTTTCTTTATTATTTTAAATACTTATCAGCTTTGAATTTTAAATTCAGTATAATATAACATTATCTGCAATCTCTATAAATAACTTCACACATTAGCTCAAAAGCTACATAGAATGAACTAACTATAGTTCGGCCGCTTAGAAAGCGACCTCCTCCAGCATTGGTTTAGCATTAGCGCGCAGGTCGTTTTCTAAGCGGCCGAACTATAGATATAAATAGTAGGGTCTAAGAGTGGTTCGTAGAAGTATACTGATGATCAAGCTATGGGTTCATTCAAGTAGCATTATCGCTGTTATCCTCAGGAAATGGGTTCTAGAACCACTTGACGTCTAGCACTGAGTACATAAAATAACTCCAGAAGAGCCTACAACATATTTGTGGAATGGAAATTCTATCGTTGGCCTTTGAGTAATCAAAGTTAACTTCTATAACTGCTTGTAGGGATTTGTAGTACATATGCACTTTATATTATATTGCTTCTCGAAACCGATAAAGATGGCTTGGAAAGGAAAACGTAATAAAATCGTAGAGGTAATATTACGTTAATAACATTCGTGGTTATTTATTAATGAATTGGGTAAATGGTAAATTAGTTGACCGAGTGATACACACAGTTAGTATAAATCAGTTTGTATTATGTGAGAAATTAGGTATTATTAATTAAATATAATTTATTATGTAAAACTTTTGAAACCACAAGATATTCATTGGACTGTTCAGTAATTTCATAGCTCTAGGTAACATCATGGCGACGTCCAAATATATTAAATGATGGTAATTTAAAATGATAATTGATGAAGGGTGAAAGGAGCTTTTATATAAAGGTCTTTGTGACGGTCGACAATAAAAGCATTCCCATTAGAAACAAAATGTCGAGGATACAATGCCTTCGCTTTAATCGCCCTTCAATTGACTTTGATGGAAATAATTGATATTATGGTTATTTGAAGTAAAACAATTACCATCTAAGTTAGTAAAAAGTATCTTCTTGCTTCATGAACTCGTTAGTTTGGTTTGATAAAGCAATACCTAGTCTACAAAGATTTTTTATTACTTTGGAAATTATCAAATTACTTTTCCGCTTATAGGCGAACTGTCTTAAGTACATTGACAGGTCAAAGGCTCATTAGCTTCCACTCATCAAAATCTGTATACATTTACCTGAACCAAATGTACACGTCACTAAAAACTTATATATTTAACAAAAATTTTAATATTATTTTAAATGTCTGATAATGCCTACACTGTAGGTATAATGAAATGCAGATTAAGATTGTTAGCAGAAATATTATAAAAAACCATAAAATATGTGTTCCGAGAATATTCCAGTCACATAATATGTGTATAATTGATTCATGGATTTATTATACGTACGAGTACTGTATACGCAATAACACGTCGATTAGCTCAGGGGAGGACTTTATCATACAGACATGGTGTTTGGTTTTGAATTATAAACCACAAGGTTCTATTTTGCGATTTCTAAAGTAAATATTGTAACGATTAAACATGTATGTTTTCGTTCCTTTGTGCATTCACAAGTAAGGAAAACGTATAGGATGGCATATATTTATAAATAATCAAAGTTATTTAAAATTTTAATTTGAAACTGTTATTTAAGTCTTGCGAAATACCTATTTAACAGGTAACAAAAAAGCTATTTAGTTTTTAACAAGTTTAATCTATGTCTTTTAAAAGCAATGATCTTCTACTGATGCCTTGAAATACTATGTAGGCAATTTC